CCAGCTGGACTTAATTAAAATGAAAAACTTCTACTCCAGAAAAGACAATGTCAAGAGAATAAGACAAGACACACTCTGGGAGAAAATATTTGTAAAACACACATCTGATAAAAGATCAGTATCCAAAATACACAAAGAACAGGACGCCTGGCTGGCTCAGTCGGTAGAGCATGTGGCTCCCGATCTCAGGGTTGTGAGTTTGAGCCCTGTGTTGGGTGTGGAGCTTATTAAGAATGAATGAATGAATGAATGAATGGAAGCAAGGACTCTTAAAACTCAACAATAAAAGAACAGCTGATTAAAACATGGGCCACAGATACCCATTAACGAACACCTCACCAAAGACACACAGATGGGAAAGAAGCACAGGAGAGTTGCCCCACACCGTATGTCATCCGGGAAAAAATGAAATAGAAGCAATGAGATACCATTTCACCTGTTGGAATGACTACAGTCTGCATACCGTCTACACCCGGTGCCGCAAGGAGGTGCAGCACCAGGAGCCCTCGCTCACTGCTGCTGGGAAAGCAAAATGGTGCAGCCGCCTTGGAACACGGCTTAGTGCTTTCTTACAAACCCAGAATTTTCCTACCATACAACCCAGCTCCCTCACCCTGGGTAATTGCCCACAGGAGTTGAAACATACGACCACAGAACAACCTGCATGCAGGGGTGCCTAGGTGGCTCAGTCGGTTGAGCATCCAACTCTCAATTTTGGCTCAGGTCATGATCCCAAGGGTCCTGGGGTCAAACCCTGCACTGGGCTCCGTGCTGAGCATGGAGCCTGCTTAAGATTCTCTATCTTCCTCTGCCCCTCCCCCGCTTGTGCTCTCTATAGAGAGAGGGATGGATGGATGGATGGATGGATGGATGGATGGATAGATAGATAAAAACCCTGCAGGCAGATGTTTATAGCAGCTTTGATGGTAAATGGCATAGCTTGGAAGCAACCAAGAAGTCCTTCAGTAGGTGATCCCTCTCTGCCTTTCCCCTGATCACGCTTTCTCTGTGTCTCTCTTGCTCTCAAAAATAAACTTAAAGGGGCGCCTGGGTGGCTCAGTCGGTTAAGTGTCTGACTTCAGCTCAGGTCATGATCTCGTGGTTCGTGAGTTCAAGCCCCACGTCGGGCTCTGTGCTGACAGCTCGGAGCCTGGAGCCTGCTTCTGATTCTGTGTCTCCCTCTTTCTCTGCCCCTCCCCTGCTCGTGCTCTGTCTCTCTCTGTGTCAAAAATAAATAAAAACATTAAAAAAAAAAAAATTAAAAAAAAAAAAAAAAAAAGGAATGAGCAGTCAAGCCCTGAAAAGACACGGAGGAATCTCAAACGCACGTCGCTAAGTGAAAGAAGCTAGTCTGCAAAGGCTACGTACCTTACGGTTCCAACTATGGAGAAACGATGGAGACCGTAAAAAAGATAAGTGGTTGCCAGGGGGCGGGACGCGGGACAAAGAGGCAAAGCACAGAGGATGTTTAGGGCAGTGAACTTACTCCAACACACCACACTGACGGATAATGTCATTCTACGTTTGTGACGCATTCCACAGGGTGGGCGACACCAAGAGTGAACTCCAAGGTAAGCTGCGGGCTTTGGGGGATCATGTGTCAAGGTGAGTTCATCACGTGCAACAAACGTACCACTCTTGGAGATGCTGATAGTGGAGGAGGCTGTGTATGTGTGGGAGCAGGGGGCATATGGGAAATCTCTATCCTCCTCTTAACTTTGAGCCTGAAACTGCTCTAGCAAGATAAAGTCTTAAAACAAGAAGAAAAAAAAAAAAAAAAGATGGGGTGCCTGGGGGGCTCGTCCAGGAAGCATCTGACTCTTGATCTTGGCTCAGGTCATGATCTCACGGGTTCGTGAATTCGATCCCTGCGTCGGGCTACGAACTGTCAGTGAGTAGGCTACTCTCTCTCTGTTCCTCCCCCGCTAACCTGCTCTCTCTCTAAATAAAAAAATAAACTTAAAAAAGAGAGAGAGAGGTGCTATTTCAACTCTCCCTCTCCCACAGAATGGACTCCTTTTGCATTGGCTAGGGGGCAGGTGCCTGGGGCAGGCAGGGAGGAGATGGGGCTCCAGAAGGAGGCGGCCCCTCCGCTTACCACTTGGCTTCCTCCAGCCGGCACAGGTACTGATAGGCCACGTTCTGCCGTCTCTGCTCGTCCATTTCCTCGGCTGTGAGGCGTTCATCTGAGGAGTCAGGGCGATAAGGTCAAGGCGGGGAGTATAGGACAAAGGGCTATAGCACTGAAGCTGCTTCTTTTTATTTAAATTTTTTTTTTCAACGTTTATTTATTTTTGGGACAGAGAGAGACAGAGCATGAACGGGGGAGGAGCAGCGAGAGAGGGAGACACAGAATCGGAAACAGGCTCCAGGCTCTGAGCCATCAGCCCAGAGCCTGATGCGGGGCTCGAACTCACGGACCGCGAGATCGTGACCTGGCTGAAGTCGGACGCTCAACCGACTGCGCCACCCAGGCGCCCCTGAAGCTGCTTCTTAACAGACTTTCTTAGGCAACTCTGCCCAGTGACCTGGATCACCTCACACGTCGGTGCCCCTCTTCCCGACAGCCCTGGCTCCCATCTCCAGCCCCCACCCCGTAAAGCCGCTCTGGTCAGCACCTGCAACAGGGGGCTCCCCTGTGTCAGAGGTGTTCCCTCCTGTTCCTCTCCAGCCAGCTCCTGACCCCTCCTTCCCCTCCATTTCAAGCCCTTCCCTCGAGGTCTCCCCACACGTATGTCCAGACCCCTCCGTGGCTGGGAACTTAGCTCCTTATTCTATCCCTAATAGCCTCTGAGTTCTCTAAGACCTGGGCCCGTGTCATCCTCCCCAAGGGCCCTCCCAGAGACTTAGGCTAACAGGACCAACGGGACTCACCATCCCACAGCCACTCATTCACGTGCTACCTTCTGCATGTCAGGCCCTGGGCTAGCAGACCCTTACTCTCAAGAAACAGATTCTCAGGGCGCCTGGGTGGCTCAGTAGGTTAAGAGTCCCACTCTTGATTTCGGCTCAGGTCATGATCTCACTGTGTGAGATCGAGCCCTCCAGGCTGATAGCGAGGAGCCTGCTTGGGATTCTCTCTCTTCCTCTGTCCTACCCCTCCCCTGCTCATATACATGCGTGCTCACACGCGCTCTCTCTCTCAAAATAAATAAACTTTAAAAAAACAAAGAAACAGGGGCGCCTGGATGGCTCAGTCGGTTAAGTGTCCAACTTCGACTCAGCTCATGATCTCATGCTTCAGGAGTTCAAGCCCCACATTAGGCTCTGTGCTGACAGCTGGGAGCCTGGAGCCGGCTTCGGATTCTGTGTCTCCCTCTCTCTCTGCCCCTCCCCTGCTCGCTCGCTCTCTCAAAAAATAAACATTAAAAAAATTTTTAAGAACAAACAGGCAGAAAGGGGCAGAGGGGGAGGTAGTTCAACAAAGGGAATCGTGGAAAAGGACAATCACTTAGGACTAAGTGGAAAGAGAGAGAGTCTTAAAAGATCACAAAGCTATCTTTACTCTCCTTTCTGGTATGAGTCACTTGAGGAGGAGAATAATCTCCAAGCTCAATAAAATGCAGATAATACTCTGACCCCAAACTTGAGAACTGGGGTCCCTTAAGTGAGAGAGCACATGTATTGTGCCCTCCCACAGCCCCCCTCCTCCTGTCCCCCACCTCTGGAGTCTCCTTAGGGAAGACAATACAAAACCGGACGCGGTGAGACAAAGTTGCACGCGCACGCACACACAAGAAATAAACACAGAGGGCCTGAAAAGAGACAGAGCTGAATCAGTCTGTCTTTGACTCAACACTTCATGCCAATCCTACTCTTTACCTCATTTCCTTATCGTGCATATCCTGCAACATGATTTGGAGGAGGGGCAGGGCTTGTTGGAACTGGCAGTTGAGCAAAACACACACACACACACACACACGCACACACACACACGCGCACAAAACCTCCGCGTTCAGATCCGAAAGGCCCAGCCAATCATAGGAAATCCATCGGTTCCCTCCAGGGAGTGTACAAGGAACAAGTGTTGGCTGCTAAGCACGGAAAATCGACCAGTAAGCGAATGACATCACCTCAGAGCCCCGAGCTGAGGGCTGTGTGAGATGGGCGGGGCTTTGTACACTCATGGGTCTTAAAAACAGTCTTCCTGCCCTTCCAAGGTCTGAAACTAGCTTCCCTTCAACAGAACGGGGAACGGGGACTTTGTTTTTTGAACGCTAACGGCAAGGAAGGGGAAGAGGCGGAAGAAGGAGATTTCGCCTTTCATTCAGAAGGTCAAACAGAAACCTTTTTGCCACCACACCTCCTGACCCCGGTCTCTTTCTCAAGCAGTGTATTTGCAAGCGCGGCCCACGGACTACCTGCCTGATTACGTGGGGTGCGGGAAGCAGCGCAGCGGGCTTGCTACAAACGCAGAGAAGGGCCCCAGTCCAGACCTGCTGGAGCTGAAGCTCTGGGAGAGGGCTGCGGAATGCGGATTCGAAACAAGCCTCCTGGGTAATTCTGACCCTAACTTTTGAGAGGCCTGATCTCAAAGCGGCATCAAAAGCCGAGGTCTCTGGGCGTCCCGCCCCCTCCCCCGCCTTCCCGCGTAGCGCTGGGCGTGCAAGCCTGCCATTCGTAACTGTTGCCTTTCTACGCGGCCACCCAGGCCACCTACACCCGCTCAGCCCCAGGGCTGAGGAACGTGGGGATGCGGCAGAAAGGTCGGTAAGCTTGGAAGCGCGGCGGGGTCCGGCGTTTCGCCGCTCCCGGTGCCACTGCGGCCCGCCGGAGACGCGACTGGGGGCTCCCTCCCCGCGCAGCGCAGGCCCGCCGCCCTCCTCGGTCCCCTCCGCACTCACACGGCGCCGGGCCCGCGCCCGCTCTCCGCCGCTCCATGTTCCTCCTCTTTCCAGGTTTGAATCTCCCGCCGCCCGGCCACCGCCCTCACCGACGCCGCGGCCGGAGCGCACTTCCGGCCAGGCCGCGGGGGGCGCTGGGATTTGTAGTTCCAGGCCGCGCGCGCGCAGGCGCAGGAGCGCCGCCAGGTGCGGAGGCGGAGGCCGCCGCGGGTGGGGGAAGGGCGGGGGGAGCCGCCCTCCCTTCTCCGCCCCGCCGTGGGCTCCTTGTTTCTCTAGGGCTCCTCCGCTGCTAAGGTAGCCTCTGCCCTTGCCGCCGTCATTTCTCCCAGGTGTCCCCACGGATCCCGCTCCGCTTCCTGTAGCATTCTTGGTTCCCGCTAACTTGCGGGCCAGCTTGCACTGCACTAGATGGTGCGGATGCAGAGGTAAATCAACATGATTAATGCCTTAAAAGCCGCTGTCTTGGAATCGGTGACAGATCTAAAGTCAAATAAATTAGAGGTCAGTGATACTCAGAGGGACGAGGTCACTGCTGCCGCGAAGCTAAGGGCAGGGAAGGTCAGGAAGACTTCCTAGTGGAGGCGGCAGCTGATCTGGGTTGGAAAGGGAACAAGAATTCATCAGACTGAAAGAGGAATTTCAGTCCGTGGAAACAGCATGTGCAAGAGCCCGGAGGTGAGTTCAGAAAATAAGAAGCGGTTCGGTTTTATCGGAGAACGACGCTCGGTCGGGGAGACGCGGGAAGAGAGCCTGGAGGGGCACGGCGGGCGCTGCGGTACCTCGCGGGGCGCTGACGTGCCTGGAGGTGCTCTGGGGGGGCTGTCACGAGCCGAGGAACACTTCGGACCCAGGGCAGCGCCAGATTCCGAGTTTATAAAGACTCCTTCTGCAGCCGGGCGTGGAGCGGGGGTAGGCTAGGGGCAGAGGCCAGTGGAGACGGCAAGGCAGTAGCACAGGTGGAGATAGTAAAGTCTGAACTCGTAAAAATAATTCTGACACCTGTCCTGAATTTTATTTTATTTTTTTACTATATTAACTAGCAGGCTCCCCATCTGGTGTTTCTCCTTTTGCCCTCCCCTCCACCCCCTCCCATGCCTCATTCAAGCAAGGAGGCAGCCTAGGTTCATAGCCTCAGGGGAGGGATGTGAAGGGGTACGAAACAGAAAACATCCAAACCTTCAGAGGGACAGAAGAGACTCAGGGCGGAGACAAAACTGGGAGATGTGGGGTTTGAAGACAGGGGGTGCTCCCTGAGATCAGAAGGGATCCCCTTTGCTCTCCACCAGCAGGAAAGCACAGAGAATCTAGGCTCCTGGTGATAGAGGTCGCACTCCCTGCTTTCCGGGCAGCACAGGACCCTGACAAGGAGCAGTTGCATAATGAGGTTGTGCAGAAACTCCCCAGCTGAGCCAGAAAGGAAGTACCCGGATGGGTTAACCTCACTTCTGCTTTGGGATGAGGGCCCCTGGTCCTGTCAGGGCCAGGTCCATGAGATGAAAGGAGGTGTCCGTGGATAGTAAGTAAATGGCTGAGGACCCAACGGGCCTTCCCTCTCAAGTCTTAGCGTCCCATACTCCCTGCATCCTGGGAGAAAGGAGGGGACAGAGATCCCGACTCATATTGTCTCCACCATCCCAGTGCAACAGGGGCTTGAAACAGGGGCTGAGCAGAGAGATTTCTCGCATACCAGGGTTAGGGACCAACACACAAGAATGACACGCATCCAGTGTTGTTGCCTCCTGGTACTATATTTAGCATTATCTTGTTTAATCTTCACAAGAGGGATGAGGGAACCGAGGCTTAGAAATGTCATACAGCTAAAAACTGGTGGCATCAAGACACAAGTGCAGCCCCAAGCTTGAATTCTCCACCGCTGTGCGCTAAGCCGCCTCCATGGCCGTGGCTATGAAACAGGGGGGGAGGGCGCACTGGGGAGAGGTTTCAGAGGTAGAACCGTATGACCCAGAGCGGAGGAGAGGGGTCACGGATGCCCCCCGCGTTCCCAGCTCACGGACTGGGTTGGTGGTGGGGCAGCTAACACTGGGAACATGGGGTCAGTAGATGGGAGGAAACAGGAATTTTGCTTGGACGAAGTCTAGAGATAGGCATGTAGAAATTATTGGCGGGAGGCAGGGGCACGCCTGGGTGGCTCAGTCCGTTAAGCTTAAGCGTCTGAGTCTTGATTTCCTCTCAGGTCATGATCTCATAGTGATGAGATCAAGCCCTGCATGGGGCTTTGCGCTGACATCGCAAAGTCTGCCTGGGATTCTCTCTCTCCTCTCTCTCTGCCCCTCCCCAGCTGGTGCTCACTCACCCTCTCTCTCTCAAAATAAATAAATAAACAATAAAAGAAATTATTGGCTTATCAGTGGTGTGAAAATCAGAGGCGTGGATGCAGTGTTCGTGGAAGTGTGCGTAAGGTAAGAAAAGGGCAGAGGGCAGAGCACTGGGGACCGTTAGCATTTAAGGGGTGGACAGAGGGCCCAGCAAAGGAGACAGAGAAGGAACTGTCCGGAGAAAAGAAAGAGCCAGGACACGGGTCCTGGAAGCCCTAGTGAGGACGGAGTTGCAAGGAGATGTCGGATAAAGTGGGGGGTCAAACAAGAAAATGATTCGGAAATGATCACTGGGTCATTGAGAGGTCGTTGGAACCTCGGTGAGAGTAGTTTGAGTCCCTGTACCTCCCTAAAACCTCTCCTCTTAAGGGAAGGCTGCTGACTGGGCACAGAGGAGCTGCCTGGCAGGCCCTGGCCGGGCTGTGGGAGCGTCCTGGAGGCCAGCCCACGGGTGGGAGCTGCAGGCAGCTGGGAAAGCCTGCGGGCACGGGCCCTGTCTGTGGCACAAGGCACTGTGTCTGCAAACCGCAGACGTTCAGCAAACACCGTCCAGCCATTTCAGGGGAGCCCGACTACTTCCTGGTAACTTGGTTTCTGGCGAAGGCCTCTCTACTTTAAAAGAGGCTTCTGGGGGCGGGGCGCCTGGGTGGCGCAGTCGGTTGAGCGTCCGACTTCAGCCAGGTCACGATCTCGCGGTCTGTGAGTTCGAGCCCCGCGTCGGGCTCTGGGCTGATGGCTCAGAGCCTGGAGCCTGTTTCCCATTCTGTGTCTCCCTCTCTCTCTGCCCCTCCCCCGTTCATGCTCTGTCTCTCTCTGTCCCAAAAATAAATAAACGTTGAAAAAAAAATAAATAAAAGAGGCTTCTGGGGGCGCCTGGGTGGCTCGGTTCGTTAAGCGTCTGACTTCAGCTCAGGTCATGATCTCGCAGTTTGGGAGTTCGAGCCCCGCGTCGGGCTCTGTGCTGACAGCCCGGAGCCTGCTTCGGATTCTGTGTCTCCCTCTCTCTGCCTCTTCCTTGCCCATGCTCTTTCTCTCTCAAAAATAAATAAACATTAAAAATTTTAAAAAAAATAAAAAGGCTTCTGCCCCCAGGTAAATGAGGACACTTGCTTTCTAATGCCAGCCACCCTCAGCGAGTTAGCACAGTAGGGGCCACTGTCACGGGCCTGCTGTCCTCTCATTAAGCAGAACATGGATGTTGCAGATCAGAGCGGGGGCAGAGAGACTCTTCTGATCTCCAGGCCTTTCCTGACCATCACCTTTCCCCGCGTTCCCAAATGTGTAATGTACCCACACAGGAGCACAGTGTGTGTGTGTGTGTGTGTGTGTGTGTGTGTGTGTGTGTGTGTGAAAGGGCTCACTTCTAGGACAGCCCAGGCCTCATTAAAGCTTGCAATCCCAGTGCAGTGGAAGGGACCCTGGGCTAATCAGCCCAGAATCAGAAAACCTGGGCACTAACCCCAGCTGCATGGTTCTGTGACCTCAGGCAAGTCCTACCTGCTTTCTGAGCCTGGTCCCCTCCTCTGCGGAATGAGAGTTTGGCACAGATGATCTCTGAGGTTGTAACCAGGCACAAGCCCGTCACGCTTTGGCTCCTTGCTTAAAGTGAGGGACTTGAGGGGTGTGTGCAGAGGTGGGCAGTGGTAGGGCAGGAAGGGCGATGGAATCCAGGTAACTGCCCAAGTGCCATCAGTGATTCAGCACTGGGATAGGTCGTCTGAACTGTCCATCAAAAAATTCCCTAGGAGTGGAGGGCGGTGCCTGCTTGTCTGGTAACCCCGGGGCTTTGAGCTAAGGGTTGGGGAGGTAACCCAAGCCAGAGGGACCATTCCAGAAAGCCGGCCGCAGAGAGGATCGAGGGAGGTAAGGTATCCTGTGGCTGGGGCCCCGAGACCTGGTGGGGTTAGCGCAGAATGTCCCGGGGAGGAGGGCCTTGAAGGCAGGATTCCTAGGTGTTCTTAGTTGCAGGGGGAATTTCTTTGAAAAGAGAGACATCTCTGCCTGCCTCTTCCAAGAAAGAGGGGAAAGAAGGAAACAAATGGGGGGAGGGGGTGCTGAGCGTGCAGGCCCCAGTCTTTACCACCCTCCCCCCGGTCTCCTGGGAAGAGAGTTCAGGAAAAGGCTTTGCCTTTCTAGGAGAGAGATCCTAACAGGGAAGCACATGTGATGACTGGAGCAGGGGGCCCAGAACCAGCCAGTTGTGGAACAAGAGGCCCCGAAGTGGGGCGTGGGCATGAATGGCTGGACGGCATCCTCCCTCCTGAAAGCTGACTCCTTGCCGATTCAATAGCCCTCTCAGCTCCGCGTCCCCGGCGCCCTGTATGGCTCCCGGGGTGCAGCAGATGCTCACCGAGAGCATCTGTTGAGCTGACCCGACCCACACCCAGGAGCGCCTAGATTGTGAGTGCGAGGGTGTCCGTGGGGAACAGTGATGGTGGAGGAGAACAGATGATGGAGGGGAGGCCCTGCGCGTGCTCCGTTCAGCTGCCCTTTCGTTTGCTCGTTCAGTGAATGTTTTTTGTGTTGTGGTAAGGTACACATACCTTTTTATCCCATCAAGCCGTTTCTAAGCGCACAGCGCAGTGGCAGCGGGTACACACGCATTAACGCATTAGCCATCGCCTCCAGCCACCTCCATCTCATTCGATGGACGTTTATTGAGGACCTACTATGTGCCAGACCCTAACGTTGTTCCAAATCTGGCAGGAGAGGTAGACAAGAAAGTCAGCAACTTTCACCCGGTGTGATAAACGCTGGAAAAGACACGGGCACAAGGTGCCGTGGGGTCCGGAAGGACCCAGATGGCTGAGGGAGGAGGCTTTCTGTTACTTGAACTGGGTCCTGAAGGAGGACAGAGAACGCAGTTGGGACGTTGGAGTAAGGGCTGATGTGGCGCCCAGTAGGGGTGCGGAAGCGGAGTGCGGTGGCGGCAGGGCAGCGAGGAGTCCTTACGGCCCTGGGGGCGGGGTTAGAGCTGAATCACCCGAGAGGGAGCCTGCTTTGGAGGAAGCCCAGGGTGACATATTGACCCCCCTGCTCCCCAGCGTCAGCACGATGTCTTCCTCCAACCCTGAGGATACCCCCCGAGAGCCTGAGTCTGAGCCTGAACCCTCAACCTCCAAGCAGAAACAGAGGGGAAAGCGGCCACAGCAAGCGGCCAGCGTCCACGCCCTCACCAGGGCTGGCCACGGGGCGCTCCTGGCTGGCCGGAACCACGAAGCCCTGACCAGCTTCCAGAGGGCCTTCGTCCTGGCCTCGGAGGCCCCGCAAACTCGCGACACCCCTGTTCTCCGGGCCTGTGCCTTCAACCTGGGGGCTGCCTACGTGGAGACCGGGGACCCAGCCCGGGGCCTCGAGCTGCTCCTGAGAGCCCGACCTGAGGAGAAGGCGCAGGGCAGGCATCATGGTGACCAGTGTTTCAACGTGGCTTTGGCCTACCACGCCCTGGGCGACCTGCCTCAAGCTTTGGCCTGGTACCACAGGGCCCTGGGTCACTACCAGCCACTAGGCGACCATGGGCAAGTCCAGGCAAAAATGGGAGCCTGCTACCAGGCTCTGGGACAGCCTGAGCTGGCAGCCCACTGTCTGCAGGAGGCAAGCCGGGCCTACGCCCAAGCAGGGCAGCCCCAGGCTGCGGCCTTGGCCTTGGGGGCTGCGGCGGGGTGTATGCTGAAGAGCGGGCGGCATGGGGTGGGCGCGGTGACGCGGGTGCTGGAGGAGAGCCGGAGGCTCGCTGAGAGGAGCCCTGAGCACAGACTGCTGGGTGAGGCCTGCGGGCAGAGGAGAAGCGGGGTCTGGGGAGATCAGACCAGGCGATGCTCTGAGATGTGGGGTGCAAGCGGAGGCTTTTCCGAGGGCTGGGGAAAGGGCCGGAGGACCCCAGGAGAGGGGGACGGGGGCCGCACCGGGACAGCTGCAGCTGACCTGGCTGCCCGTGACCCTGGCCACGCCCTCCAGGGCATCTCTATAACGACCTAGGCCTGAGCTACTGCCAGCTCCAGCTGTTCCCGCTTGCAGCGGAGGCCTTCCTGCGGGCCCTGCCCCTGTGTCGCGGGCCGGGAGAGGAGGCCACGGTGCTGAGAAACCTCGGGACGGCCCACAGTGCCCTCGGCAACTACCGGCAAGCCCGGGAGTGTCACCAGAAGGCTGCTGACCTGCATGGTGGGCACCAGGGGCTGGGGGCTGCGTTGGGACCGAGGGACTAAGGGGGGGCTCCAGCCGGGGCCCGAGGCTGGAGCGTGGACGGACCTTTGGGACTGGTTATGGGGCCAGGAAGTCCAGAGCCAGGAGGTGAGGGCTGGGGGAGCAGGAGATGGGATGGCCAGACAGGACGGTGGGTTGAGGGCCCGGAGACGAGGCCTGGGGCTGGGGGGACACGTTGGGGGGCTGGGCAGAGGGCAGAGCCCCGGGCGGGAGAGGAGCCTGACGTGGAAGCCAGTGCCTCTCTGATTAAGTGGTTGTGTGCAAGTGAGTCCCTGTCGCTCTCCGAGCTTCGGTTGCTGCACGTGCAGGAAGGGAACTTTGCCGCTTTTCAGGGTCAGGTCGCAGGGTCGTTGCCCAGCTCAAGGTGGCCAGCGGGGGTGGGGGGTGGGGTGCATTCAGGCCGAAAAGCAGGCCTGAGGAGAGGCCTCCGCGGTGCAGCTGGAGGCGCGCGGGGGCTGAGCGCCGGGACTCCCGGGGGGCCCGGCCTTGGCCGCCAGGGGATACGCCTCAGAGGCCAAGGCCCCCGCTTACGATGGGGTGGCTCTGTCGTCAGGCTCTGGGGGGCAGCGGCGGGAGCAGGGCCGGAGCTTTGGCAGCCTGGCATTTGTACTGAGCCAGCTGGGGGACCACAGGGCGGCCAGAGACAACTACCTACACGCCCTGCAGGCGGCCCGGGACACTGGTGAGTGGCAGGGGGACGGGCGGAGGGTCCCCGGGGCTGGTGGGGAGGGTCAGTCGCGTGGGGAGCCGCCAGAGGACCCCCGGGCTCTCTCCCCAGGGGACACGAAGGGCCAGTGGCAGGCCTGCGAGGGGCTGGGGGCTGCCGCAGCCAGACTGGGGCAGCACGACCAGGCCTTGACGTACTATAAGGAGGCGCTGGCTCAGAGTCAGGTGAGACCCCGCGCCCCGGAATCTAACTCTCCCTGCTCCCCTCCTCTGCTGACACTCCTGCCTTCGCCTTGTCTCCCCCACCACTCGTCACCCACCAGACACACTGGGCACAGTGTGCCAGGCCCCGGGACACTGCTGGCAGGAGGGGTTCGTCTGTCCACAACTGTGCACAGGCGGTGACAGGATCCCGGCAAAGGCCCCGGGCTGCGGTAGAAGAGAAGGAAGACGAGCCCCCCCTTCCCTCCTCCGCCTCCTGTCTCTTTCCTCCCCAATCCCCAGAGGACCCCCACCACCCCCCGTTATCCACCCTCCCTCCAGAAGGAGCCAGACTCTGTGCGGGACCGGCTGGTGGCCAAGCTGGAGGACGCCATGAGGACCCACCTGGCCCGGGCCGGGCTCGTCCCCATGCACGCCCTGGTGAGGTGACACCTGAGACAAGGAGTGGGGGCGGGGACGGGTGGCCCAGAGAAGGGGGTGGTGGCAAAGCAGAGCTGATGCCCTCAGGGCTGCTGCCCCGGGCTGCTCGTGTGTGTGTGTGTGTGTGTGTGTGTGTGTGTGTGTGTGTGTGTTCACCTGCCCCAGAGCCCGCAGAGTGGACACGTGTCACTTTTCCGAGGACACCTGCGGGTAGGGAGGTGGGCGAGGGGGGGTGGCCCGTCTCCCAGCGCTAGGCAGTGCCAGGCCTTTGCCTGGGTGGTCACTAGCCCGGAGGCTGAGCCCTACCCAGAGGAGCTGGAAACCAAGTCCCGGGCTGCAGTTCTCCAAAAGGCCACACGGTGGGGGCAGTGCTGCGGTTCCCGGTCGGGTGGGCTCTCCCTGCGTCTGCACCACCCCCTGGCTCTCTGACTCCCCCCACCCTCTCTCGGCCTCCCTGCCTCTCACCCCTCCAGATAACCTCGGGGAACCTCCCACCCAGGAATTAAAATTATACTTGACTATTTATTATATTTATTTAATGGGATTCATGTCTTCTCTTAAAGACTAGGACACTGTATTTATAATTTGCAAGTGAAACTAAATTAGCCTGGTCCGGGCAGAGGACTGGACTGGGGAAGAGCTGGGGTCCGTCTGAAGGCAGCCACCGACTTCCTGTGACTTTGCCCCTGGAGGCCCCAGGCAGGATGAGGTGGAGGCCAGGCTCTGGCCATGTCTGATCGTCCGTGAGCCCGAGTTCTAACTTGAACGTTACTAGCACGGACCTCGTCACGGATATCCACTCTCAGACGCGTGGCCCATCCCAGTTAGCATCTAGCACCGCTCTGTGTGGGGCCGCTGCGTTGTGGAGGGAACATACGCTCGCGGATATGTCACAGCGGGTTCCCTTTACTCCCCGCCATCCCCAGACTTCGGCTCCAGGGAGGCCCCAGGCTCCAGGAGGGCCGGGAAGGGGAAGGGGCAGAGTGGAAGTGAGGCACAGGTGAGTGTGGTGGGGCCGGGGCTCCGGGTTCCACAGGGGTGCGGACGCTGGTGGGGTTGGGGCCACGGCCACGCAGGCACCCCGGGGAGGGGGGGCGGAACGTGTCCCTGGTGCTGCTCTGCCTCCTGCTCCCCACCCCTCCAGGTCTTCGGGTGGGTGGGAGGAAGAGGAATTGGAGGAGGGCCAGGAGGAGAGAGAGGACCAGGCCCCACCGGATGTCCCCCCCGCGTCTTGGGCGCAGAGGCTGGAGTGTGAGTGGCAGCAGGCTGTCCCTAGCTGTG